CCTCAACACCCCTAATAATGAAATAACATGTTATCTATTACAGTAGCCGTCAATCAGCTGTGAAATTAACGCTATTGGTGTTGTCTTCCTTACTGTTTATTTCCTCTTGAAATAAACACGTAAATAAGAATCCTTTTGAAGTATGAAGTGATGCCACCTGGGTATATATAGTATTAATGTTTATATATAGACTACGAGGGTGTATATATACTACTTCTGCTGAACAACACCGTTACCTTTTAAAACATAAAGCAAAATACTTACATCAGCTTTTTATAAAACGCTTAGAAGTCAATACTTGTTTTTCTATATTACAAACTGATTGAAAATATTGTACCTAATTCTTAGCGATTGATAACTCACGAATTCTTTTACCTGCTTAGTTATTCTAATATGCAAGTTAATTAGAGTTACCTACATTTCTTTTACTCCGTTCAATGATTGCATGGTCTGTTAGTTCAGGTTCCCATCCGCTACCATTTTTGTTAGGGATTTCTTTCCAATATCTGCTGTGTCAAAAGACCAATGCATTAATAATTTCCATCATATTAATAGTTTTTGTGACATTGTCTTGTCTTGCTATTAAGAATCTGTTTATAAATAAAGGTATTGTAAATAAATATTTATTTAAAAAAAACACGTTGTGATTAAGTATAATTGGTTTTCCTTTATAATAAAGGTGATTAATTCCTACCTTTAACAAATTATTATACAATGAATTGCGTGGGAACTTTAACAAGGGAATTTGCATTAGCACTAACAAAAAAACAATGTATCTATATAAGAAGGCAATTCTTATTGAAACACTATCACCGTTTTAAATTAACACAACAAAAATTGGGTTAATTTTATAAATTGGACACTGAAAAGTATGACAGTGATTTTGTTAACCTGTTTTCTTTGCTTATGATGTGTGGCAAGATGTCAGATTACCAAAACAAATCGTAAGAGGTTTTAGTAATTTTTTTGTTGAGGATTCCATATCCACAACTAAAATGTCTTATTTGTGATTTTAAATTGAAGGGTATTTTATTTTTTACAAACACTGTTTCCAATGCTACTTTACATTGATTGATTTATATTATATTTCTTTGGTGTGAATTAAGTAAAGAGGACGTGTAAATCAATATGTGTTATTTTTATAGATGTCTGGCTTTTTAGAACACCGAGAATAGTAAATGGGTTTAAGGTTTTTTCCTTAATTAGATTAATTCTTCTGTTTAAAATTACATTTTTCTTTTCTTTTCTACTGGATCGTTTCTCAAGTTCATTAATCAAGGAAATACTCTAAAAACAATACAAGTCAATCAGTCAATATTGTCTTTTCATTTCCTTTTCTTCTGCGGGCTATTTTGCATGCAACCAAACAACTCTTTTGGTAACAAGCTTGTCTAAACCATCCGGTTAATTCAAAAATAGGATTGGAACAACTGAAATACAACATAAACATCATTTGATAGTTACACGTTTGTTATTGAACTGTAAACTCAATCTATTGTTTATTATCACATATAGGTGTTTAGAGAAGACACAGACAAGATTTTAAAGTGTTAACAATCCACAGAGATCTATTTTACTTCTAAAGCCATGCCCCAAGACACACACAAGCTGCGCTACTTGTCCAAAAGAACGCCTTTGAAAGATATACTGTTTTTATTGAAATTTACATGGATTTGTCATTTGTTCACACGTGGTTGCCATTCGATCGCACGGCTCCACCAAAGGACAATAAACACTGATGACCAATGATGACCGCTAGTATTGACCATTCTTTTAACCTGATCAACATGAAAAGCTGGTCACTGCTGGACACTCTTGTCCAAATACTAGAAATGAGTTTTATTACGACTGATACTTATGTAAGGAGAATAAATTTAACTCGACGGGATGTCCTCGCGATGAAAACAAACCCTTTCTTCTACTAAATACTTTACAACTTTCGCGTTAGAAAACCCCCAAATCATTTTACACGTACTTTCTATTAAGGAAATCATAAATATGTCCTCGACTTAGAAACATGATTAATTGATGAGCATCGTTTGGTTGGATGTTTGAAACGTTATTAAGTTGTATATTTAAAATACGTTGAAAGATAGCCTTTATCTGAAAGACGTTTCAATCGAAACCCCGTCATGCTTGTAAAAGTCATGGATTACGATTGATAGAGAGACGGATGACGGGTTTAATAAGAAATACAGAGTGAACCAAACAATAGCTCTTTAGTTATTTATTACTATATTACCCTGTAATCTACATCACTGTATATTTAGGATGTGGATTACATACTATGTATCGCTGACCAAATGTTAGCATTGTCGATTACATTATGCTTGATGACGTAATGTGAATTACAATATACTTCCATTATTAATATTTTATGGTGCTTTTATGTACATACACTATGTTACTTATATCAGATTAGCAGAATAAAGGGAGTAGAAACTCATTTATAAATGAAATGAAATGAAATGAAATGAAACGGGTCTTAATTTCATTTTCTGTCCCGACAGTGATCACGAAGACGGGCAAATGCCATACAGTGCGCTATGCCCTGACAGCGGCGCTACAGCCTACCCTTATTTCAAATTCCAACTGTTATGGGTTCTTTTACGTGCAAACCAATGTGTATACGGGACCTCGGTTTTTGTGCCACCCGAACGACTAGACACCCTTTCTTGCTAGGGTTAGAGTTCGACCTGCACCTTTGACAAGGATAGACAATGCAGGAAATCCCTGGGAAGCAGCCCTATGTCTTGTTTTACTGTTTTACTTTTAATAAAATTTAACCAAAAACCTTTCTGGTCCTTTTGGTGACAAAATGGTAAAAGCTTGAAACATTTCAAGGAATTCTTCATATATCCATATAATTGCCGAAAAAATCGTAGGAATATAAATAAATATTTCAGATTTTTTTGAAAATTTAGTGTTTATTTTTATTTTTTATTTTTTTTTTTAAAGTGGATATTGAAGGAATTGTACAATTCTTGTCTTTCACATCCAATATATTGAAAATCTATGTGGATATGCACTAATGTGGTCCATTCTACATTCTATGTTCAGTAGTCTTTCTAACAATAAGCAAAACGCAAACGGTATCAGAGATTCTACTCTCCCCAATTATGTTCCCAGCTAATATATTTAACATTGACTATATATGAGATCTAACAACATTCAGTACAATATTATCATTTCAGTTTCTAAGCAAGAAAACAATTAAGGAATATAAATTGATGATATATATTATGTAATTTCATATACAAAATCGCTTAATTAGTGTTTATTAATTAAATAAAAGCCATAACATAATTATAGTGTAGTCACCAATATTTACAAATAAAATAGTGAAATTATTATATTCACGTTCATACCAATGCATAATTTGAAATGACAGGCAATGTCAATGTAAAATTGAAAGTGACAGGCAAAATTTGAATAAAATCATATAATTTTGTTATATCCTATGCCATAAGCTGATTGGACGCCAACAGCAACAATATTCTATTTAATTATTCTTGCGCGCTCGAGGTTGATCGCGTGCAGTAATTGTCGGCACAACAGTAATAAAGAGATGATTTTATTTTTAGAAATTAACAGCTATTTCACTTGAAGAGAAAATCAGAATTTCCTAACATAAGATTCCGATTTATTATAGAAATCAGCTATTCAAATTTTAATTTTATGTATATTTTATGTATGTTTACATCATTAAATTTAACGAGTTTACCATTTGAATATGATTATTTTCTAATGTATTTTGTTTAAAAAATACAACGAAATACCTCATGTTGTTAGGGTATTTTAATATAAACTGTTTACCGTCAATATTATACAAACAATATTTTTAATGTAAATATTCGCTTTATTTATTTAAATGTTTAATTTCGTCTTTTGCTGTGTTTGGTCACCGCTGGGAACTTTTATATTGTTATATACATTATCGACTATATTTCATTTAACAAAATATATACATTTAAGTTTTGAAACCTTATGTCAAATTTTTTTTTAAGATAAAATTTTCTAAATTTAAAAACTTATGAACTAATTCTGGATAGCACCTAAATCAATAGAACTATTTAGAAAAGACCCTAATTCCAAAAAGACCGTTTATTTTTCCGAGTATAATTTACAATAACAAACTTGCTTTGATAATACAATATATTTAAAGTTGAAAGAGTTCTAAATATTTCTCGTATTTACGGACGAAACGTGCAACTGGTCAAGGGCTGATTAATTACACGTACAGGACAGTGAGAAATTGTCTAATTGTTAATAATAAATAAACATGGTCGCAACTAAATCTAAATACTGCTAACAACTAACTCAAGCTTAATTATGAAAGAACACTCACTTCAAAGAACCACAGCCAAATGACAGAAATATGTTGCCTTGTACCCGTCTTTCAAGAGGTCAAAATTGTCGTCCCACACGCAAATTTTTGTTCTATGCGACCACTTGTGCTATAAAGGGGTCGAGGCATCTGGACCCCAGATTCGACCGTTTTTCTCCCTTGAACATATTTACAAAAAGGATGTGATTGTTTATTTTTAAACTGAAGGCGAAACTATCTCAATAGGACGATGAACGATATATAATTACTCCCAACCACAAGAGATGAAAAACTAAATCAGAGAATAAACATTTTATACAGTCGCTTCCCCCCGTCTCTTAATAAAACGTCAAGCCGAGCGGAGGTACACATGCTAACTAAAACGATTTCTCTTAAAAGAAGCAAAAAAAAAGACGGAGATTGCCGAGTGGTGAGAGAAATTAATTGGAAAATATGCACCGAGCTGTACATTAGTGTGAACTGCTGCCTAATATTCATTGGGTCGTTATTCATTTATCAGCCGTCTGTCTTACAACCAGTTAGCCGCATTAGTAGGGGTTTTGTTTGCTATCTAAAGCTGCTAATTATGAATAGGGGGCGGTCTCTCACTCACCATTCGACGATTTGATAAGGTAGTCGGCTAACTGTCTACTGTATCGTTTAGATCACGTGACCGTACTCGGCTCATATTGACGGGCGGGTGGGTTATAGAGTCATAAGCCAATGTGCTTTTGGTAACCCAACTTTTCTTTTCACGTGTGTGGTCAATTAAACCTTCAACATCAACTGTCAGTGGTCAGTCTGTAGTTTGACAGACCCCAAAAGTCAACTAGCAAATCTTCTTAATTCGCGAGTGTTTGATGAAGAAAACTGAGATAATCGTATGTGTGCCTTTTGTGTGTATCCCGTTTCCAGACTATAGCTAGTTGCTATACGGTGTTAATATATTAACATTTGATTTTTTTATCATTTCTTCAGTGTGCGATGCGCTTCGAAATGGACAGATGTATCCCCAACCAAGCGGGAGATATACCAGACACCCAGGGTTATCTAGATCTACGTAAACAACAGATGACATCCTCACCCCCTGGTTCTAACGTTCTACCCGCAGTCTACAGAGAAGACTTGTGTAACAGCGGTGAAACAATGCTACCTCAAGATTCTTCATTCGACGATTGTAGTGATGATGAACAATTGGATGTGGACTCACCCCCTCCTTCTCCGATCCCCTCCCCCGGTGGGGGAAGTGATGGGGAAATTATGGATAAGGACAAATCTCTTGATTCGAGTGCTAACAATGACTCTCCTGTGAAAATCAACGCGAGTGGTGACTCACAAGATGACGCTTTGAAGAAGAAACAGAATTTAGTAAAACCACCGTATTCTTACATCGCTTTAATAACAATGTCTATTTTACAATCTCCGAGAAAAAGACTCACGTTGTCTGGTATCTGTGAATTTATCATGACCAGATTCCCTTATTATCGAGAGAAGTTCCCGGCTTGGCAGAACAGCATCCGTCACAACTTGTCACTCAATGATTGTTTTGTAAAAATTCCTCGAGAACCCGGAAACCCCGGCAAGGGCAATTATTGGAGCTTGGACCCCAGAAGCGAAGATATGTTCGATAATGGCAGTTTTTTGCGACGTCGTAAACGCTACAAGCGCCATATGATGGATATGCACCATGCAGCTTTTGTGTCACCTGCCGACTCGTATCTGCATCATCACGGGATACTTGCCGCCCACGGACCTCAGCTATCTTTTGGACCTGGATCGGGCGTGATGCCGTACCCGTATATGTCTCCCTTTTCTCACCATTTTCCCTTCCTCCATGGGGATTACAGCCGTGCTCAAGCCTCCCATCCCGGTCTACACTCCATAGGACAAGCAACGTTCCAGGGACTCAATTCCTCAAATTATTTATCTAGTCAATTACAGAATTTAGAGAAACAACAACAACAGCAACAACAACAATTAGAAAAACAAGAAAAGGCGAAATCCAGCTCACCACCGGTCCCGAAACCCGGTTTCTTTATAGACAGTTTAATTGGTAATACAAGTAGTTCGAGTAGTTCGAGTAAGCCATCAATTACAAACTCTACGTCATTATCATCAACGTCTCCTGTGACGTCTTTTAGACCCTCGCTAGCGTCTGTGTTACCCAGTTTAGGTCTTCCGTCATCGTTAGGCGCTCTACGACCGGGATTAGTAGACTTTCCACGATCAGGAACCAGTGCTTTCTCGTCACCCCTCGGGGTTTCTGGACTCTCTCCCCTCGATATCGAAAAATATCGCCAGTACGTTCAGGCATGTACCATACCAACCTGGCCTCGCTGAGGCGACCAACATCAAAAGTGTTTAGGTTATTTCCTATGATCTCAAAAACAACAAAAAGTCGAGGCGGCCGGCGTCTGGACACATCGCTAGCCACGGTTCGAACAGTGGTCAAATCTAGGAGGGATTTTCCGTGGATGGAAAAGGCTTAAAGTAATTGAACTAGATGAAAGACACTGTCGATGTTCCACATTCCCTTCCAAACACTATGTGTCATTTTACTAATTATAGCCTTTAACGACTCGACAGGGTTAGTTAGCCTATGGAAATTCTCTATAACCGATGTGAGTAGATTTATTTGGTTTTTTGAAAATATTTGTCAGTTTTCTTGTTAGGTATGTATGAAATAGTTCGCCTTGTCGGTGTGGGGGCCATTGCAGATTATATCCAGCTTGATAGAATGTTATCTAGTGACTTGTTAAAGGTTTTTGTCCACATAAATTGTTCATATTATAAATGTGAGAACACTGTTACCCCCCATTATTATTCTGACGTGTAGACATTTTTAAAACATTCTTACGTGTTGTAAAGACTTATTGGACGAAAAGAATAATATTACACAAAGCAAAATTCATCCATGTTATGAATTGTACTGTACATTTTGTAATTATGCTTTAGGTCATATTTCTTTTATCAATTAAATTATTAAAATGGATGAATTTTTAGTGCAATTGTTGTTAGAGATTTCTCTTTGTTTTTTGTTTCGCCCAAGTTGTAAATAATCTTTATTATTATTAAATATGAAGCTATGATTAGATCATAATATAGATATACAGTAGATGATGATGATGATGAATATTTATGACTTTTACTTACATCATTGCAAGACATTTAATTATATATATATATATCATGAATATAAGTTTCAGTCATCCAACTAAACATGTTCAAAGTGCTGTGAATTAATTAATTTAAAAATTCAAAACATCAAAATAAAAATGTGAAATGTTAGTATTTGTTGCTTTGTATCTTTTGGGGGGCTTTGTTCAAGTGTATTTTGGAGTCACTTGTTTTAGATAATTTCGGGGGTTGTTGACTTTGCATTGTGTAATGAGGTTTCAACCGTTTCTAGTGGATTAACGAAGTAATCCGTTTCGATAACCCCCGATTTGCTAACGTTAATCCCCTAATCTAATACCGTTGTTGGCTTTTCAAGAAATAATCTCATTGTTTAAAGAATATCGACTTGTTTTGTCTTTGTTTACGAGTCACCTTTTAATAATTACAGTAGTAAATACAGGTAATTTGTGGCGGCTTTTAACTCCCATTCTTTGATCATTTAATCAAGATTTTTCTTTGTAAGATGAATTAACTTCAATGATATATCCTGTTTAAATTGGCAAATTAAATTTCTAGAAATAATCTTAGTATTTTTGATAATATTAAGCAAGTGTTAGAATATTAGACATTGAGATTAGTTTTGGGAACAATAACTAAATATTATTTATGAGAAATTCCTTTTTATCCGTCGGAATTTTTATGGACCACGTTATAAACAGCTTGAATATTTTTCCTGGATTTTTAAATCTCGTATTTCTCAAATAAATGTCGAAAATGCTAAAATGTTATCACATATGTTTTACAATATTCAAGATATTTATACATCCTCCGATATGCTCTTAATATAAAGGCGGCAAAAAAGGAATTTCTCATAAAATATTGTGATAAAGAGACATGTATAAATCACCATTGAGGATATCAAATCATTGCAAATTTTGTAGAATTTTCTTCCTGTGGGACACGGTTGAATTAAAGGATTGGGGAGATCGGGGAAAGGGAATATGAGAATTGGATATATTTTTAAATCGGTAGATATGGATGGGCTTTACGTTCATATTTTAAACAAAGCGTTCGAGTTAATTTTTTCATTTGCCGTCTCAGAAATACAGAGCCTATAAACACTTGTGTATCCATTTGTATAACCCAATGTTGTTAATTCTATACACAATATTTGGTTGAACAGTATCATATAACGTATTTCAAGATATAAGTTTATATTGTTATTTATAATATTTATTTTTGAGATTTGAAAACTATAGATCTTTCCCTAACATATTGGCCATGACCATAGAACTAGCAATACTCAGTAGATTAATTTACAAATAAAATTGATTTAGATGTATATTATTTGTAACATAGGTTCTACTTGATGATCACATAAACGAGGTATCTGTTATATGAATAAAATATTATAAATTTATCAATATGGGGTTAGGATAATGCTTATACAGAATATTTAATATCATTTTATTCATAAATAGGTTAAGTAAATTTATATAAAACATATTTCTGTTTGTTGATTTCGTTTAGTTCTATCATTTTCGGAGGTCGAGTTTTTTTATTAATGGAATAAAAGGGAAATAATAATAATAGTAAAGATAATATGAATATTGTTGTTATTAGAAGATTGTCGTCTGCCAGGTCTCTATATAAACGACGTAGTGGCGATTTTTGCCAGGGGCCGCACTTTGACGGTTTCCATAACTTTTGTTGTGATATTTCGATCGTAGAAGATGAAAGACGAGAACTAAATGAACGTTTACTTAGGTCTATCAATATGCAAACTAATATATACACGATCATCTTTGCCTACGAAAATAATCACTGTTTGTTCGTTTCGTTTTATTGTTTTCTCAAATAAGGTAGATCGATCGCCGTTAGTAGGTTTTTCGTTCCTTGTAGGACATTATTGAATCCAAATGGTACAAACGCTTATTACGACCAAGTGGTGCTTCAAACGGCTCGGTCAATTTAAAGCTAATTATTACAATCTTTTCATTTTTAACAATTTCCTTATTTTTTTTATATAATAAATTAACCATATCATCGTTTTTCTTTTAGGTTTACTCTCATTGTTTACAACTATAATATTTATCAATTTCGATTTTCGGATATTTCTTTTTCGCTATTTGGATAATCCTTTATATCGCTGTCGATAAACTCTTTCGTTCACAGATTCATTATTATGATAAGTTTTTCCGTTATTGTTACTTTTGATAATAGACCGATAGTGAAGAAACCATAGACAATATTTTATTAAATTTGAGAGGTTGAGAAATAACGAACCGAAGGGTTGAAATTGCAGCTAGGTCCGCAGAGACTAAAAATAATAATAACAATTATTAAATAAATATTTTATTTTCAAGCATTGAATTCTCATTTAAAACTCCAAAATGGTTATATCTCACGGAATTTGTTTACAATAAAAATCTCCCGAATTATTTTAACAAAATATTATGATGTGAAAAGATAAAGTACTGTGTTTGTTTATTCAAAGTCTAAATAAACAAAATAAACCTACCAGCACATAGCCTTATTATAATGCTATATTTTATGTTTGCTTACTTTTACACATGTACTTTTGACTAATTTACTAGAACGAGACTGATGGCGAAAAGATCAGAAATTTTATCCATTTGCTCTCGTTGTAAATGTCAGTAACAGCTTTCAACACGAGAACAATTTGCTAGAGTAGGAGAAGGGTAGAACGTTCGGTATTCTATATACCTTCATAAGTATAGTTCTCGAGAGGTTAAAATAACGCATTACAGTGTCATAATCTATGAGAAAGCCATTAAACAACACTTGAAACTTTATGTTCCTCACCTTCAAGCTGAACTTTTCTAACTGTAGATATAATTTAGCACTTGTAATATATACAGACCTAAATAAACTTATATCTCAACATGTTATAATACGTTTTAAAACTTAAAATATACAGACCTAAATCATTTTATAAAAAAACATATGATGTCTAAACATCTGATACCACTTCTTAAATAGCTGAAAAGTTCAGATAGCTAAGTTTCTATTCCTTTGCATTGAGGCTATTTCTTTTTAGGTCACTTTTCTAAATGTTTATACTATAAAATATACTTCTAAACCTACAAAAACACCTGATACCACCTCTCAGTTAACATTGAAGTCTACATATCTGACTCTTTATGTTATCCTTTTATAAATATTTCACTGTAGAAAATAAAGGTCAAAACTTATTTAATAATGCATAGTTATTAGCGATGGTCATGCACATTTGTTTTTACAGTCCTTCAACAATAAGATAGGAATCCCAAAATTAGTTCTATCAATCAATCGAGATGGCTTTGATAAGTTAGACCAAAAGATTAGTCAGAAATTCAGATATTGATTAAAATCAAACAAAACGATTAATGATGAGTATACAGAATCTAGACTCCCTGACACAGCATAAGTTAAACCAAAAGATTAGTCAGAAATTCAGATATTGCATAAAATCATACAAAACGATTGATGATGAATATACAGAATCTAGACCACCTGACACAGCATCAAAGAAGAGTTTTTGATATCCGCTTGGAGGAATGAACATGTGGACTGTTCAAAAATGTCCCAGCTTTTATACCAAAATCTTCTCACAGAATTAACCCGGGGATAAACTTGTGCGAAGAAAGATGAGCATTTAAATCTGCACCGAGGAAAATGAATCAAAAGACTTATTTTATACTTCTTGAAGGTAAAACACCACCATTTTAGCATGGCCACCCCAGCTTTCCTCTGCATGGTTGTTTAAATTTAATTTTCTGTAGTTGGTTTATATCAAAGAGTGATGTATTTGTATTCATTAATCATGAATCAATTCTTCTACAAATTTTAAATAAATATTTTATCAAAGTACCAATTATTGATTTATTAGACACACACACATGAAAAAGAAACAAAAGAATTTTTCATTATTACATGTATTTTATTAAAACACATAAATTGAACATGAGCTCAAGAACAAAGTCAAGTAAAGAATTATAACAATAGTATATTGAAATTTACAATTTATGACCTCTTCACGTGGCTTCATGTTTTCCAAATACACATAAATGTCCGTGAACTCGTGTATAGAAACGATAAAACACAAACAGTCCCTCCTTTCTGACGTTTTTGTATAGAAAAGTCTAAATCAACACCATCTGAATGTCCAATTAGAGTTATTTATCCATCACTAAAGCCCGCTTAGTATCAACGCTAAACCGTCATAAGCTTTGAACGTAATGGTTTTAAATATCAATATAAAAATCAAATATTTGTCACCACGAAATATAGTGTAATATTTATGACGAAGTTCAAACTAATTTAGAAATTAAAATATTTAGCTAGTTATGAAAAGTGTCTTTGTTTAACATTTCACTTCAAATTAAATACGCCCTGATTTATCACGTTTCGGACGTGGCTTCAATATTTGATATTTGCGTTTCGTTTATTTTCTTGTCTGTTTTCATCAAATTTACACGCAACCACTTTCCCCCAGAGCTGTCACAATGTTCTATTCCCCTAGGAAACAACATGGAGGTTGCAACACACTTTGTCCATACTGCAACATTAGTTAATTGTTCGTTTCGTTCTATAATTTCAAGGGAAAGAGAGATCTCGACTGTTCGTAAAATTCAAGTCAAATATCCACAGCATGCACCATAAATGATAACAATAAATTCTCTTGTCAAAAGTGTTTGCTTTGAAAATTTGACTAACACGTGTTTGGTGAACAAATGCATTAGAGAAAGTGATAAGATTATAAGTCTTTTATAAAATAGTCAACAAAATGTCCATAAAAAATGGCGTTTTCTTTCACTTAATTTGACACGTACGTTTGATGGAAAAATTGCACGAAAATTCCATTTTTAACAGCATGTATAGTGTAATTGGTAGATTTTAAATTTAACTGAAATTTCCGGATTTAAATGAATTTCTTTTCCAGACAAATATATCTGTCTAGCCCAATGTTTTCTAATCGATATACTTAAACTAGGCGAACTTGTTTCATTGTAAATACATATGTATATATATATCATTTCTTTATTTATATGCAAGACCAAGGCATGCGTTAATGCGTTGGGTCACGTACAAAAAATATAATTATGAAT